GACATGTTTGTAACTACAGCCAGACAGTGAAGGTCGCTAGCAGGTCTGGAACCTGTCCAGACAAGTGGCGTGAGTCAGCTCAGAAACCTGCAGCCGGAGAAGGTAGCATGTAACCCCTAAAATTAACCTTGTTCTCTTCCTACTATACTTCGGTCTGGCAGGCCCGGTGTTTTATTTCTTTCCCTCTGGCTTGGCAGCGCAGAGGGCAGGAGCAGCTCACTGCTCAGGTAGCCTTCTGAGATTGTGATACGATCGGCATCCTCCAGTGGTTCGGAAACCGATATTCTCTTTACGGACTCAGTTTTCTCTTGTTTAATTTAATTTTTAATTTTAATGGACTTACAGCGGAAATCTTGCATCGCCAATTAGCACCTAACATCCGCAATTCACCAACTAAAGATCGCTAACATCAGGTTGAGAATACCGATTAGCTCAATGGTTCTCAACTTGGGGGTAATTACCTCCAAGGGGATAAAATGGAATTTTACGAGGTAGACATAAGTGCGAGGATTTGGTCATCAATCCGTCACCAAACGGGATTAATAACTTATGAGTAGAAGGATTTTGGTGAGTATTTTTGTTCATCGCAATTAGCCGACAATTCAGATAAGCCAACTACCTATCCGGAAAAGCACCAGACGGCCGTTTCGGCTATTGGGGCTCGTCAGTGGTGCGCATTCTTCGGTTCTCTACGGAGAATCGAACCCATGACTGCTAGTGGCTTGTGCCAACTAGCCCACAGCTTATGCAACTGCGCCATAGAGGGCGGTAGCCGACAATCACGAATTGTTAGCTAACTGCGATATAGCCCAACCCATCCTCCACTGCCATGCAGGCACCTGCCATGCAGATGACAGCGACTGGCCTTCCGGCGTCAGGACTTCCCGGTCACGGCAGCTATGAATCGACATAGCATTTATGGAATTCGTAAGGGCGAATTTGTATTACTTATGAGTAGAAGGATTTTGGTGAGTATTTTTGTTTGTCTCAATCAGCCGACGACAGATAAGTCAACTACCTATCCGGAAAACCACCATACGGCCGTTCCGCCCTATTGGGGCTACCTACTGGGGAGCATAGGTAAAGGCGCATGCGAATATTGGCAAGGTGGAAGGGACAAAACAGGTGATTGATGTTCAGGTCGTATCAATACAAACTGGTGGTGGGAAGCTGTCACCCAGGACAGATTGGAAGGGATGCTTGAAACAGTTGAGAAGCCATTGACATCTGTTCCTGTTTGGTCAGCAATCACACACCAAAGCAAGGAACCAAATGAATCTGGAGCACGGTTTCCGATGTGCATTATTCGAAACCTCACAAAATATACCACGAATCGTTGAAACTAAGCAATATCAACCGTCTCATTAATGAACATTACTTCTTGATTATTTAACAGTAGCTCAAATATAGATGTCTATTTGAATAATGAAAAGTAATTTTAACAATGTATTCATTTCCGCAATGTAAGACAAAAATGCAATGGTTTATTGGCACTTGGCTTCCATACGTAAAGTTTTTGTGGGTTAGTTGTTTTAGCGAACCCACTTTGTGGGTGACAGCCTCAGAATGCCTGAGAACCACTGGATTAGATGGGCTATGAGCGATTTGCAACACTTAGAGTTAATCATTAGAGTCAATAGTTTTATCCCACTCAAAAAACAATTTATTCCCGTTTTCATGATTGTCAGACATCTTCACTTCGATCCACAAATACTGGTGCTACGGTGCACTGATTATCACTCTTCAAATATGTTCGATCCTACGTTGTGATTAATAAGCTTTGGAGCTAATTCCGCCTCTTCCTTCTTTCACTGCCGTTTCACTGAGGCTTATCTCAACACAATGTTTCCGGTGAATCGAAGTAACAATCCGTTCCTAGAGGATCTGTCCATCTCATGAGCCACTACTCAACCAACCCCCACCATTTCTAGGCCCTCAGGTCCAACGTCGTCTCATTGAGTCGCGACAATCCGGAACTGACATCGATTTGCGACTGGTTTTGTAGTTGCGGTCAACACGGTCATCGCTACACAGGTTCACTAACTGTTCGAGCGTCCGGAGCTGGATCCATTCCTCGTTTGAATTTTAGAGGTTCGTCAAGAGCGTTTTCAAATGGTATTTCGTTCATCTACATTGTTATTCGGTGACAGCTAGTTCTTCAACTCATCTTCGGGGGTTATAGATTCAGTCGACTCACCACGAACTTCGGGTTTGGACGCGGTTGATGTGTATAGGGATGCTATGCGCTCACGCGTTAACATCCGACCACATGTATCGCTTGTACGATACTCTTGCATCGACATTCATTATCTGCAGGTAATGACCGTTAGATCATTTTTACCTCCAAACGATCAGGCAACACCATGCAAAAGGTGTGATGAAGATATGCTCATTGTTTTGCTTGTACCATTTTGTTTACCGAAGACTACTGTCAATGCCACATAAACGGGCTCATAACTGACCTCCATGCTTGTATCCACCACATATTATCTACCCATTCGGGGGTTTATTTCACTCGCTAAGATTGCAGATTCTGCTGGAAAGGGTCAACATATGACAATTTCCCTTTGCTGGCCTCTTCTGTCCATTTTTGCACTGAGCTCCTCAATCTAATTGCCCTCATCTGTGACAGCTCCCAAACGTGCCAAACGGCACTGGACAGATTAGCACTGGCTGTCAGCCGTTTCGGGCTATGCTTTGCGCCCTCGAAGTGCAAAGCTTTCCTCCCTAATTGGCAGAGACCGTCTGCTGCACTGACCCTTTTTGGGAATCAGCTGGTAGTCGTCCAATAATCCAACTACCTAAGCAGTTGTATCAGCGCCCGCGGAATCGAAGATGAGGTCACGAACCGTATAGCAAAAGCCCGAGGCGCTTTTGCTAACCTATTCTATTTATGTCGCGAGCACCACTTCATCCTTTCTCTGAAGAGTAGAGTGTACAATGCTGTACGGTTGTGAAAACTAGCTGATATAAAGAAACTAGTTACATTCGACCACCGGTGCCTTCGCAGCTTAGCTCATGTTTTGTGGGAGCACCGCGTGAGCTATGAACGTGTTCGATGCCTTCTTTATGAGGAGGAAGTGAACCGTTCAGTTTTGTTCTATCACACACCAGGCTGCAATAGCTGGGCCACGTGTTGTGCATGTCAGCCCACCGACTCCCGGGACGGGCGCTGTTTGCTCGCCGGGGGTGAATGGAAGAGAGGAGGGGTGGCCAACCGATTACTTGACCGAGAGGAATGAAGGCCCTTACTTCGAAGTTGACCTCGATTGGAGCGTCTCGGCTCCCTGGTTGCGAACCGAAGGACGATAAACATGTTTGGTTGGATACACCTGTCGACATGGCTAGAAGAAGACCTCAATGGCTTTTTTGTTACGAGTTCCTTTGTCCATTCCCCTCCCGCTTCGCCCCCCTTCCAACCGCGATCTCAATTAATAGGCGTACTATGACCTTTTGCGGCACAATAGCCAGCTGTTAGCTCTCCGGAACGATATCCATCTGTTACTGGTGAGTGAGTCGGCGTGTTTCTGTTTCACTTTTGTATTGTGGCACCATAGCTGGTGTGTTTTCCACCTGCAGGTAGCGTGTATAATGAGGATGATGCTGATGCATACAAGTAGGGTTTCTCTCGCGGCTGTTCTTGTTTCTAACTTTGGACACTATATCATCCCAAAACAGAATATGGTCTACAGCAGTGGAATGCTGGATTGATGCCTAATGACGCATTCTTGCTTTGTCTTATTTTATGCACTTTTCGAAGACAACTACCGATTCTTATTAAACAAAGCATAACTACGAGCGATACCTGTCACTCTGTCTTTCGGAGGATCCGAGTGTCTTGAAACTTGTATTTCTAACAACCAGTGATTGTCTTAGCAGCCCTCATACAACCTTTGCAATGAAAGTCGTAGCCTTGAGACCACCCATGTACTCCGAATGTCCATAATTTGCGTAACAGTGTTGTATGTGCGGCGCTATATCTTAGCTGGAGGGGACGGGGTGCACGGTCCTTGTGGCTGTGCTAGGCTCGAAGAGTGCTTGCATGCACTCAGTGTGGAGCGGACTATGGTCCAGTCACCGCCTTGTGTGTACGATTGATTCCCACATACAGCATGCTTGTGTTTGCCTGTGTAGGAGTGTGGGCCGGCTCCGTTGATGAAACGTGGCTCCCATCCACATGCCTCCCGGTCTTATTCCTTCGGGTTTACACTGGATATGGGCTGTGTGGATGGAGCCACCAGGCGTCCTGTGGCTGTCCACAGTGACAACCGAAACCGGATGCCGCCAACCATATTCTAGCTAACAATCGGTTATGCTGGCCAGACACCATCATCCATGCGTCAGTGGCTTAACTCACTGACTCGTATGAGCGGTGTCTAGGTTTTAACTGGTAGGTTTCGACGGTTGTGCACTACTAACGAGTCCCCATACGACGAAACGGCCCTCTACCGCTATCCGGATGGGTGATGGTTGTCTGGGTCTTGCTGTGACGAACTTTGTCACTAGTTCGACTTTGTTGATCCGCTAGAATAAGTGGCAAGAATAATACTGGTCTCTTGTTTTATTTGAACTCGAGCTGCGACAGACGGAGAACAGAGACATGGTTGAATGTTTGCGATGAAGCTTCGTCGCAGATGTTGCTTTCCGGCTGCCCATCTTGATAGGGTAGTTAGTTTGATAGATACCATTTCTGTCCCTTAGCTCACAGTCGGACTCGTAACATGGTCCATTCGGCTCCAATTTGTATCCTGGATATATTTGCGCTTGTTACTTTTCCTATGTCTCTTTTTCTTATCAATGTCATATTTTAGTGCTCCATTTTCCTCCACTTTGTCATCTCAGTTGCTTACCTCATACATTTTAAGACATTTTGACCGTTCTTCAACGAGAATCGCGGGAAATTGAAGACAAATCTCCTTTTTGTCTGTATACTCTGACTAATAGTTCCCTTGACGCCCACCGAGAGTTAGTCCTTACATTCGTTCCCCCTATTGTTACAGGAATTGGAACTTGGTATTGCTGCCGATGTTGGGACACTACAGCGATTGCCACGGCTGGTTGGAAGCGAAAGTCTCGCCCGCGAATTGATTTTCACCGCTAGACGCTTTGATTCATCAGAGGCTCTAAAGTGTGGTTTCGTCAGGCAAGTCTGCCTGAGATTCCGTGCAGATTACATCACATCTATGCAAACCAATCGTACATTGTGTGTCCCTATCCACCAATCATCATTCCTTCTCGCGACACGCGCACACACATCGGCTCCATGATAATCTCACTCTAAATAATATTCCGAATACTGTACTGAATGCTGTATTATAGAGCAAGTAAAAGTGAATTCTGTACAACCCTTTCGAAATATGGTGAAAAACCTTATCGTTCTCATGTAACATTTAAATTAGCTAACTCACGGTGCTGCAGGACTCACAAATATGACATGTTATCTTAAATGTGCAATCGTTCTCTGCATCGAATAGTGGTGAAATATAAATCTAACCACGTTTTGAATTGCTTCACAGATGTTGCCTCCACATCTTCAGGCAAACTGTTCCAAATATTTGCCACTCTCCGTCCGAAGCACAGGGGGTGGGGAACACGTTTCATATCTGGCACGACAAGTTTGTATCTGTGTCCGCGTGTGTTGCATGGCCCTCGTAAGTGCAGCATTGGCCTCAGCATGGGGAAGTCACCAAGATGTGAAATACGGTAAGTCATAATGAGGTCGACTCGCACCCCACGGTAGGACAAGCTATAGGGTCCTAGTTTATCGCACCGGTCTTCATAACCCCAAGCCACGTAAACTCGGCATGAGCCTGGTAGCAATATGTTGGACCCATTCAATCTTTTGTGCCTCGCCTCGGGTAATCAGAAAGTAGGCGGGCGAACCGTACTCTAGCATTGGTCTAATGATTGAAGAGAAGAGGCGGGTGGCACCCTCTTCATACCATATGCCGAAGCTACGTTTGAGCGCCCAAAGCGTGCTCAGTCCGTTACGATATAGCCTGTTCGTGTTGTCCACGGACTTCAAATCGTAGCACGAGAGTACACCTAGGTCGTTCACGCAGGGTGTGGGATATCGCGGTTGGCTGTCAGGGGTGTGGGTTCGGCCGTCAGCACTCTTCCCCAGGTTCATAAATACAGACTTGGCAGGGTTGACCGGGAGATGAACTTCTGCAGACCATGTGGATGAGCGGTTGATGTCTTACTGAAGTAGGCAAAAGTCGTCGGGAGCGTCCATTTCTCTCCAAATCTTCATGTCGTCCGCAAACAAGGCACACGGCGACCGGAGAAGCTGAGGTAGATAGAGGAGCTGAAGGACCGCATGACGTCGAAATTCGCTGTAGTATGGTCGATGTTGTATCCGCAGACTGTTAGCCGTTTCTGTGATCGTTCTTGTTGAGTTATTAGCTGCGCAGAGCAGAGGAAATTCCTGCTGCCATTTCGGAAGCAATCGACGTGTTTATGTAGCAGTTTTTAACACGAAAGATTCTTGCCATATTGTGCTGGCGCACTGCTTTGACTTCTCGGGCAAGTTATTTACAGAAGTCATGTTACTGACTCCGGCCCGTAGCCGTAGGGATCACAAGTCTGCGTTGTGATCCGAAGGCAGGGATTCGAGCCTGCGTTGAGACCGAATGACCTTCGCACTCCCAGTGCGACTGCTGGTTGTTGCACGGTAGCGAAGCGCCGGCACTGCGTACTGCTGAAACTTTTCTACTTTCTACGTTCATTATGTGAGCATCTCAAGTATCGAGAGTCGAGGAACATCTATACGCTCGCAATGCGACCTTACGCACTGCCATACATTTTCGCCTTTTGCTCCTTGCGAAAGAAATTTTTTCGGACCTATTATATATTTTTGTCTCTGACGCACCTTCGATCCATCTATTGCATCCACAGATGCATTTCATCCAGATGACATCCAGGGGATCCTCAGCATTAAATGACCAACTTGTGACACTGACAATACAAAGTGAATCGTAATGTGTATGATGCGTACACAGTGACAGTGTAAATATCTCTTGCTTGCCATTGTGCTTAATGCTCTTTTTATCACAGTGACATCCGTGATGGTCCAAATCAGGAGTTAGTGACTCCTTCAGACATGGCGCAGTCTCACAATCAGTGGTGTTCCTTCATTCGGTTTCCTCCCTCTAGATATTAGCTTTCATTCTCTCCTGATTGGTTTAACGCACTTCTTTCCTGATTCCACTTTCTTTGTATTCTATTTGCGATCATTCTCGTTTTCTTGTCGCTGTTCTTCTTCTTCTTCTTCTTCTTCTTCTTTGTTGTTGTTGTTGTTGTTGTTGTTGTTGTTGTTGTTGTTGTTGTTGTTGTTGTTGTTGTTGTTGTTGTTGTTGTTGTTGTTGTTGTTGTTATAGCGGCATGAGTCTTGGAAGCTGGGTCCTCTGCATTTCGTTGCTCAGATCATAGTTGTTCGACAAAATTGGCATCCATACCTAAGAGATGTTTTTCTCTCACGGAGTGATCACGTTCGACACAACACAGTGCGCCAGAAGGTATCTATATGCGTGTTCCTCATAGCTTTTTTCTCCATATACTGCGAGCACCTACCCTACGTTTGTTGTTTTTGTTGTTTCCATCCGTGTGGGACGCAGCGCGTTTCTACCTCAACTGTTAATACAACGCCATTGTGACCCCGTCTCAATCTGAATCAAGACCCAACTCAGGACCATAGGGGATGCGATGCGTTGTTGTCGTCAAGATCTCTGCTATCTCTCCCATCGTATGCAGCAGTGTGTTTAGGCTATGTGGCTACCAGTTCCTTTGCTGTAGGGTCCAAGCTGACTATATACTGACCCAGGGATGGTCTTTACCACTGCGTGACTGGGGACTCCTACTCGCAGCGTCATTTCCATTCTGGTGATAACAATGATGGCTATGTTGGGATATCTCAGATGTGTCTCTAGCTGCTTCTTTGTTTTTCCCTCCACTACTGAGCCCTTCACGGCTGCCCTGCATATTACATCTCAACTTGTGCTTGTTGGACTATTTTTCTGCTATCTCTTCTAGGTCTACGTCGTTCAACAACTCGGTTGACCCCTCTAATTCATTTTATTTGTGTTGCTACACATTTTCCAGTCGTGTGCTCAAAACTGCATCTGAAACTGTAGACGAAGCCCTCAGAACTGCGGAACAAATTGCTTCACACACTCCAGTTGCTGTACAAACCGCCAAGTATGGAATACTATTTGCACGGGATCATGGTGTATATCAAGGTCTGGATCAAATGGTTGGTTTTTATCCTTCATCTTATTATTATTATAACGATCGTTGCACATTTTTCTGCACTAAACTGTTCCACTAACCGGCTTATGTATTGTCATGTTTTTGACCGTATCTTTGAAATACACTGTTCCAATGTATCCGTCACTATGAAACTAGAATTTATTGCGGTGTTGCAGCTTACGTATTTACGTGATCTACCAAGAACTCCAGTTACTTTCAGATCCAGCATGGATAAACTTAGTCACAATTTCGATATCACTGAGTATTTTTCAGTTAGTACCATTCATATGAGTCTAATCAGATGGAACACTGCTTTGCGCCCTATATCCCTAATTCGGTTGCTTTAGAGAACGCGCGCCACAGATTGTCCTCGACATTGGGAGATCAAACCCACTGCTCAATTGTCTGGTACCTTTCACCTTAAGTTGGATGACCGTCGTTCAACGGGCTGCGAACATGTCCAACTCACCGTGGTTGCGGACTATCGGAGAACTCCTCACGAGACTGCGCGTAACAGGCACTACACCCATAAACGTTACACTCCCGAACCGAACCTACGAGCCTCCGCTTTGTGGGTCAGACTATCGTGTCATTTACATCCTCTGAGCTGAACTGCCAAATAGTTGCGTCCGCCCACGGGGCTCCGTTTACTGTGTCATTAGCTTTTATTCCTGTTGGCCTGTTTTCGTATCCTTCGGACTGTTAACGAAGAACAAATATGTACGCCTGCTGCGGTCACCGCAATATGTTATCATTTGGTTCCATTCAAGCTATGATGTGCGCAGTTTGTCGAGCAACTAGGTGTGAAATATCCCCTCTCACATCTGCGAGCACCTGAGTTGAACATTCGCAGTTCTTCAACAAGGTTGACTCTGAATATGCCATTCGTTGTGCTAGTGGCATCCTGCAGGCAGTTATTCCTTACCAAAGTATATAAGGATATCTTGGCAGTTGCAAAGGGTTATACGGAGTTAAGTACTTCTACGGGTTCACTTGCCGTCAGGCTTTGACTGTTGTGACTTCTGCTCCTAGTTTACTGTCCACTATCTCACCTTATCGAGTGCACGAGAGTATTTTTCCACAAACTGTATTATTTCCCTTGGACATGCTAAATCGACAGATCGAGTAAATGGCATTATCTCTTTCTATGTATAGATTCTCATTAGTATGCTGCGCTGCTCTCTTGCTTTACACGTGAACACAATTACCGGAGTATCCATCTGTCCCGGACCCAAAGGGAGTTTTGATTAACGGTCGCCGTCTGGCATAATCACTGTACTGGATAGCGCTCTTCTCTTACAGTCGTCTGCGTTCCTAACCCACGGTTCCAAGGTCTTGAGTTTGGTCTCCCTGTATCCATGACACCTGGGCACATTTCTAGGTCCCGGAAGCATCTTCGAATATAGTGGCTTTTTACGGCGCGGCTGCGAGCCTTGTTCGCATCTCAATAACTGAAATTTACCCTGTTTTTACCGGTCGTTCTTTGAACCAGTCATCCCCGTGATCAACCTTTACCATGGCGGGATGCATCTCACTCCCGAACGCATCATGCACAGCAAGAACCAGATTCATCAGTTCTGGCCAACGGAACTCACTCATACGCGCACTTTCTGTTGGAGGCTGCGTAGCGCGCACTGCTTCTGTGTCTATTAATTATGTGGCGCACACTGCTTCCGTGCGTATTCCACACGCTGTTCCAAAGCGTTCCTTTTCTTTCGGGGTGTTAGTATGTCCCGCTATCGACCCATTACCGTTTGGTTTTCTGGCACTTCCATACTACTGGCAACTGGCGCAGTAGTGCCTGTCTTTGATCCACCACAACCTGAATATAGTGGCTTTCTGTGGCGCGTCTTTGAGCCCTATTCGCCTCTCGATAGTTGAAATGTTCCCCTTTTTACTGACCGTTCTTTGCACCAGTCACGCTGGCAGATATTCCACTCACAGATGCATCATACTTCATACATAGCACATCGTCGGTTTATCCTATCAACCCATAGTGTACACTTTTGGCCGAGGGGCGAACTGGTGAGGCATCCGCCTTCTAACCCAAGGTGGTTCACCGGTTCGCATCAGTGTAGGTATGGTTCACCTTGCAGCGTTCCTAACCACCACACGACTGGTACTTGTCGCGTGACAAGGTAGCGTCGATGCGATGCACCGGTGTGCCGCGCAGTTTGCTTGTTAGTGCCACTTGTTAGTTGTGATGGAATACGAGGGCTTCAATTCCGGCACAGGAATCTGCCTCCTTATCACAGGCAACAGATGTAATACCCAGGCGCTGAATTCGCTGAAAAACATGAGTCTCTTTTTCTTATTGTATCGAAAGGTGGTGTCATCTGTTTAAACACGATGTGTTCGGTCGCTTCATTTCAACCTCTCATCCGTTGCTCACATTACAGGCGGATTGGAACCAAGTAATGCTACAGACTGCAGATATGCTGCACGCGTTCAAGGCTTCCGTCACGAAACAGAAGGCTGAATATGAAGACGCTTAACTTATCTTGATTTGCTTCTTTTACTTTCCGCTATTTTTACTGGATCGTTGCCACCATATTTGCCACCCGATTGCTTTTGTGATTACTTTAAAATATATGACCATCGCAAAAACCACATATTTTTTCATATTGTCGCATTTACAATTGCACATCGTTATTCGAACACACATGTGCCCTTCTTGGTTTGGCTACGTGAACGCCGTATCCTTTTTCTCGCCGGCTTCTGCTTTCTCTCGCCCGCGGTTCTTCAGTCTTCCATACCATGTCCTGTTCGAAATAAGTGCCTCAAGGTAAATGGTCCGACCAATCGTCCTTGAGGTTCCTAGAATGTATCACAGACACTGATTTTGTATTATTATAATAAAGCATTGCACCAAGATGGCGCAAAAACGAAATGACCTCAATGCAATGCATGCGCGACGACTCATTTCTACACATTATTTTCCCGTTGCCCTTTTCGGAGTACACTACTTATTTCTACTCTGCTATTCCTCTTTTAATTTAGCACCTGAGGTTTGGCAGTTGTGTTCTACCTGCTCTTCGATTTCATTGACTGCGAGTAATGTTGTCTGCGGTGACCAATCTTCTGGACCTAACCTAAAGTTTTCCTCATTAACGCTATTATTAGCCTATCATGCAGTTTGGAGCCTCTGCAATTTATGTTTTCTTTGATATGCAGTTGACTCGAATCCGGAAACCTCCAATTGTCACTCTTTGGTCTGTTTTGCTGCCAGCTTCATTGTCTTAACTTTTCGACTGATGCGTTGTTTCACCTCAGTATATTCATCTTCAGCATCTGCAGATTGACAAAAATAGGCCCTTTTATTTCTGGGTTTATTGAACATCTGTTAATTGTCGCTAACGAGTCCCTGCTTATGTAGATTCCTGAAGGGAATACTCTTGTTCCTGGTTGGTTATTCGGCTAATGTGGACACCCAGATCGATAGTTGAATTTAATTTTTATCCAATCTGGTCGAGTATTGATTAAAATACGACCCTTCCTTAAATCTTAAACTATTTCAGAGTGCCGTTAGCTCATGTTGACGTTTCATTTGTCTGTCGAGTTTGACCATTTGGTTGCGAACGTTTCGTTATCAACCGACACGATTTTTCGCCAATAACTACACCTAACTCTGCACTGATGACGTCATCTCAAATGGTGACGAAACGTCTACAACCAAATTGTTACACTCGGCAAACAAATATACAACTGAATCGCCCCACTCTTCCGGCTTAAACTCGGATCAAAATATGCGTGACAGGTTCCTGACATCGTAAGTGTTGGAAAACTTGTTTCACTGAAAAATTTGGGCCATAACTTCATTGCTGTTGAGCCGTATTTCCGAAGCATCAATGCCGTACGATGACGGACAAAGTATTGATTCATACGAATTCTGTCATGGGAGTGGCTGCGCACTTGGATTCTCACGACATATGTGTAACAGTGAATGATTTGACGCCCTGAAAGGATAGATGTAGCCAACTCAGTTATTTTTAGCGGCACCAGTGGGGCATACGTGACTTTTTGCTCGCCCCTGATTCTAAACGGTCTAACTTCGCACAACCTCAGAACACAGCACTGAAGCTTCGATAAAGCCGTCTACACCTGCTCTTCAGTGGAATCGTTGGACATATAGCGTTTGACTTCTTTACGGTACCATCAGATTGGATATTACGGCTAATTGGCGTTTACAGCGTCTTTAAGGCCGTCATTACCATACATGTTCAGAATTATTGGTGGCACATCCAGTTCGAATAAATCTGTGGTTCACAAAGACTCATGAAGGCTACCTTCAATGTGCAACATTGTCTCATCGGTCCTGTATAGCAGCTCCCTATGACTCTGCTGTTTTGCGATGGCCAGATCCACGTAGTATTTACATCATGGTGGTATGGTTCTCAGTAAAGTGAAATGTACTCTTCACCCCCCCCCTCCCGAAGTGTTGCGATCGGTTGATACAACGCTCAACTATCTACTCACAGCACTCCGAAATAACCGAGATTCACTTCAGAATGCGTCACAGTCCAGATTGGATTTGTTTGTCACAATCGAATCATACATACACTGGGTACTTTAAATTTACCCCCCCCCCCAATAGTTAGACATGCTTTGAAATATATTATGGCGCAGAAAATGCACAAACCTAATCAACACCCCACCCTCATGGACTGACTTCTGCTTGTTTTCACTGCCAATTACTAAACCTCTAGTGACAACTCAGTTTTATCCGGCGATGCTAGTAGATGACCCTTGTCCGGTCCTTCCGTGTTCATTAATGGCTTTCCGCACTTATGGTCCTCCAACTCCGCCTTCCCATAATAATCTTACATCAAACTTGACCGTCCACCGGCAAAAAACTGAACTGCTTTGCTTGACTGGCTTTGTTAAGCAGTCCTACAGATCAGGGAATCGGTGTACCAACTTTGTCGAGGTCAGAATGTCCCTTGCCGGTTTGCAACATCTAAAATCTATACGCAATTTCACCCAGGCGAGTAGTTACAGGGTGTTTCTCGCTCGGACACACTGTATTCCAGGACGCGTTTTGACCTTACTCTCAACAGGACGATTGAGTTGCGTTTCCGCATTTGGGCTTACTCCTTGGTCACTTAGTTCATAATCTATAACGACGATGACCCTGTGTACGTGTGCCTAACGGCGAATAAGGTCGCGCACATTGCATTGGCTCTTACACACCGTGACTTATTGAAATCCAGTTGCAGCAAGACTGTGGCGTTGCGAACAGCGGCGTGGGATGAATTCTCTAACCAGTCGACTGGAGAACATTGAACATCCATTCGGATCAGCCTACGCCCAACTGAGGGTCTTTCGTGAAATCGCCGAGGTATTCACCATAGTTGCTTTTGTTACCGCTCCCACTCCTTTGCACAAACTCCCTCTGTTGTTCAAGTAGTGAGGTTGGACAGTGACCTAAAGTGTTAAATTCTGTGGGAGGAAGTTGCACTTATGCAGTCTCAGTGCTGACTCCATTCACCTTCACCATCGTCGAGCTCTTCATTGCACCACTGGGGACCCCTCGGTATCACTACCCTTCATATTTTATGATAATGGCAGACTTCTATGTGCTCCACTTGCTATCAGTGGCAGCTTGGACTTGTAGCTCGACAGCTGTGTCAAAATTCTCTCACTAATTGCTCTTGCGATGCAACCCATTTCCCCGAGTCTCATTGGGGCAGCATTGTTTTAAGACACTGGTCATCCATGCAGTTTTCCTCTCATATCTCTACTTCGACTGTCCATGGTGATGGGAGAATCCAAAGTGTATCCCTCAGCATTTCTTTCACTGATGTCAAACTGGGTTAGACAATGCGGACGACATCGTCTCGCAGTTTCAAAATCGCGAGGTGGCTCGTCTAACTGTTTGATTGGTCCCGTCATTTGACCTGCGCTTTTTATTTGAAAAGTGCGAAGCAATTGTTCGAGACCACGAGCTACCTGCCAATCATTTGATTCTTGGGGACGATGAATTAGGAAATCGGATTAGTTGGCTTAATTTGACAGCTATGGGCGCGTGATTACCGAATTTTGCTTGCGTGTTACGGAAGCTAGAAATGCGTTCCTTAATCCACGACGTTTATTGCACTGGATAGCTATTACTGCCGGCCTGAATGGCCGCCTACGGAAGTTCACAATGAGGTCCGTTCTTATCAATGAAAGCGAGACTTGATTTGGAGGTCTAAAACGCTTCGTTTTTTATCCCCTTTATTTTTGTCAGTCACTATGACGAGCGTCGGTAATCTACTAGACAGGGACAATCGTTTTTGTTCCTTGGAAAAAATAAACCACATTGAATGAGTTGCCTTGGCTACGTATTCTCTGTCACTGTTTGCTGACAATGGCTTTGTTTTTTATATCAGATGCGGATTAGCGCAGTACTCAGTTGGAGTACATGTTGGCTTTGCAGCAGAAATAAACAGAGTGGGGCTAAAATGAATGCTACTAGTTCGTCTAATCTTTGAGACTGGGACTCATACGACCCTTGTGCTCGGTCTGTAACTTTACAGAACATGACTGGTAGTCGGAACCATTGGCGCGCCAGCTGTCGTTTCCTAGCGTGACTGTTCTTTTAAGTTGTCTGTTAACGATTTATCTGTGAAGTGATGCTGGTTATGACGCTGAAAATGAAGATGCAGACCTATTTTGCCGACGCTGCCTTATGTTCGCACGGCAGCCATCTATTTTTGATTGTGGGTTTCTGACACGGTTTCGGCGCATTGGCCTTGTACGTTTGTTTACACCAAACTTTTGCACCCAACCCCCCTTCTGTTCCCTCTTATTACCTCACATCCCATAAGTCATTGTGGTTGTATTGAAGCGAAGCATGAGTTTAAATGTCTTATGTACTGTCGATTGAATATGATATTTATGACCTGGACAATGCCTCGTTTCGAATTCCTGTTTACCTAGACTTGCGCTGTCGTACCGTGCAGAGTTAGTTACCTGACAATCGCCAATTCTGCTAGCAGACCAAAGCTTACCGAGGCGTAGCCTAGAGGTAACGAGCTTGTCCCATAATCTTGCGGCCCGGGTTTGAGCCTGCCTATAGGCAGGGCGACCCACACAGTATCCCTACTCCACGTGCGACCGGTGGTAGTTGCGCGGCAGGGAAACGTCGGCACTGCGTACCGGCGTACTGCTGATCCCTTTGCTATCGTTCAACCACTAACTTTGGAGGGGGGTATTCGTTCCGGGTCGGAGGGCGTCATGTGCAGTCGCTTGGAGCCGTCGAGTGGCTTGTTGTAACACAAGATCATCGACCAAGTATCCATTTATTAGCACACAACGATCTGCTTTGCCTTTTCGCTTCACAGTTTAGAACGTGACTCTAAGACTGTAGGCTAGATAACCGTGTGACTACGCACTGCACCCCACATTGTCCCCAATCGAGCGAAGGAGGAACTGATTGGACTTCTCATGACTTGTTTTCAACCTCTGATACTTCGCATGTCTCCCAAGGTATGAGGTTTTCCTGATACAAATAGGCAAAATGAAGCTTTACTTCTCAAAAAGGGGATCGACGTGACTACTAAGTGGTCAGACCTTCAGAGCTTGTGTTAAATCCGTCCCTGTCGATCGATGTCCTCTTACTCTCCAAGTGAATGGCGGTTGTATTATTACAAGACAATCCCTTTTATTCTATCTGAAGTACATTCCATGGGGTGACTCATTTTGGAATCTTCTGATACGGTCATTCTCACAAGTTAAGGCTGATCCATATAGATACAACAGCTTGTGCTCAACTGTTTCTTTTAACGTTGCGGTGTTGTTTCCAACTTGATTGGTCATCGGGACTGGTGTGGTTGTGTGAAACGTGTGCCGAGAAACTAATCTGACTCACTGTTTACTCGTGACTGAATTTGGCTGCCTCACTATCATCGTCAATTGACAGGAGATTGTCATCTGTATGGTTTAAACGAAATAATCTGATGTTGAACATGGTTTTGGAACCAAAATTATGAGATTTTGTGGGACCAAATTAACTGACAGCTTGATCTATTTCATAAGAACAGGATAGCGGTGGTATTCAAGGGTTTACTACTTCGCCGCAAGCGTGGATACTTCATTAGATGTATAAGTGTGTGATTCGTAGTATCTGTGGCTGCACAACGATCAAGTATGTTCAGAAAACCAGGTGACTAACAGAACCAGTGGCAACATTGTACATACTAAATGCTATGGTGTGCTTGAGATCGCTCTGGTGTAAGATGAGGGCGTTAATCACCCTTCACCATTGCTGGAATTTCATTTGTTCCCATTTTCACGTGGCATTATTTTAAGTCTGACCTTATCAACTTGATAAGTACAACAACACCTATTAATACTGCTCCCACTACGCTTACTACTGCGACTTCCGTTCCTTACTCATTTACGCTGGTCGTCCCTCATCTCACGAGGAAAATGCAATTCCTCCGGTAATCCAGAGAGGTCTCATTTCTTTTGGATTCTTCGAGTGACTAGGTCAAATTCTTACATCCATCTTGAGCTTAGTTTGCGTTTTTCAGAATGCCTCAAAGACTCACGAATCCTCATTTTCGACTGAATTTAAATGACTGGGTATCCCGCAGTCATTGAATGAGTTATTTCTAATATCTGACTAAAGGGACAGACATGTACTCTTCCAGTGGGTCATCTCGCACATCATTTGGTTGCATTTGAGCCCATGAATTCTTCATTTGTACCTATTGCCTATTTAACGTTACAGTATAGCTTCTGAGCACTATATGCGTACATGGTCCTCACCTTGCGGCTTGCCTCGAGTTCATCGCCCACTTGACTCAGTCGACCGCTTAACTGTATGGCGCTGAGTTGCTCCGGTAGACTGCTGGATCCTCTCCGATTCAGGTTCATTCCTTGTGTACTAGAAGAGCCCTGCAGACGCCGATGGGGGTAGGGGGTTTGGGTCAAGGATACGTTTGATATCTACAATGCAGAAACATGAGTTGAGAGTTGGCTGTTTTACCAGTCCTGTTGCCATCTGACTAGCACTTCAAAAATGACTTCATTCATAACTCCAAGTGTTAGCTAAGGGCGAAAAACACCTCGACTGTTGTGCCCCGAGATATGATTTGCGTTTTACACAGACTCCATCTTGCAGCTTTAAAGAGCTTTTTCCACAATGGTTTGCAGAACAGGGAAAATCCCGTTTCTTACAAGTCCCTGGCAAATCATGATTGTTAAATTGTGTTTTTCTAACTGCAACGATAGTGACAAATACTTTATATTTCACGAAGAGTGATGTGCATCTAAGGAAGACTCGCTTAAATTTCACTACTACATCCTAGACTGGCCAGTGACCTATTAGACATGGCGCCTGGCTTGCAATCTAAAGGCCGCCGGTTCATTCACAGGCGGCGTGGCGGTAATCCTTGTACATGGCAGCGGAACGTAGATATAACGTACCGACGTACTGCTTTCGTTTTTCTTTTACAACCACCAACGCGGATGCAGGACACATAACACACCAATACGGCCAGTACTGGTTTCTGGACCGGAACTACGGCTCCTGAGTGCGTTGACTACGCTAAGAAAGTGTTCCCCTTTGGACCCCGGTGACACGCAACCTTACCGATCTAACTGGACCACTGAATGAGTTCTGGTGACATTCATCCGTTGGTATTTGATAACCGACGGCTTCTCCCTGTCAATACTTTATTTGTGCTAATGGGGGCATACCTTCACTGTACTCATTACGCACCTATCTCCGTCTATGTTTTCTATGGGATCTGCACCTGAGTAACGGATGCATCAAGATGACCATGGGGTAATGCGACAAATAAACATGAGGCAGATGACCAATTAAAGAGGTCGCATTGGTTCCCATCACTCCAGATGACAGCCACCTGATCTGCTGTTTGGTGGTCCTTTGCCACTATTCTCCTTTATATTGACAATGGTTGTTTCAATCAACGAGAGTCTAATCTACCTTTGTATCTGATGGGGCCGATGTCACTAATTCTGTTCATTTAGCTTCCATGTGGTCAGGATTCATGAATAATGGAAGGGGAGGCGGGACTTAACGGTACCGCGTATGTCATCACGGACCACAAAGTGTGTTTCCCTTCGTTTCAAGGAGGAGTTAGACTCCATTGTCGACTTGTTCCGATGAGGAATTTCAGCATTTCCTACACATATAGAGACTCATTTGCGTTTGCGGCTACTTGTTGACCTAGTTTTCAGTATTACGGATTCTATCTTGTCTCCTTCAACCCTTGGGCTCGTACAGGATCGGAGTCTGATGGATTTGACTTATATGTGTTCCGCTGTTACGCTTTTTGAAGGCAAGATGAAGTAGGCTAACTTATGTAAACTCCCGACACCTTTTACTGCCATACATTTCCCACTTACAATGTACTAAACCTCGCTCGTAGACTTTGCTATTTCTACAAGAATATGGTCTGATTCGCCCATTTTGATGGTCATGTCAGCACTGATGGGCGTATTACATTTAGGGTTATTTGACTTGATGCAAGAATGTGAACGGCGTTTTTTCGTTGATGAGCAGTAGAGGAATTTTGGTGTAACTTTGGAGGATTTTCATCATAGCCATTACCAACTCATTGCTTCCATCTACCAGAGAAGGCGATTGGTAGCCGTTCGCTCTATTGGGACTCGTCAACAGTTTGTATCCTTCCGACTCTCCCGGCCGTCGAACCCACAATCCGTGTGTTCTAAAGCCGGCAATCGACGCCGCTAAGCCATGGGTGACGGAGACGGACTGCCCTGTGCGATCTAGTACAGTTACTACTATTGTTCAATAACTGACGCCCTCCACAGCACCTTACATGCCACCTCGATTGGTGGCAACTTGCAAGGTGACCGTGGCTCTGTGTGCCAACTCTGCCTTCTGAACGTTCATACCACACGGATGTGGAGGCTGAGCCGCGTTATTTCGCACTTAGTAAGCAGTCATTATAGTCCACTGCCTTCACACATTGCCTAAGGACATAAGTCGCTGATCCCTAAGTATACGGGTCAGTTTTTTTGATTTTCAGAGTAGTCGGATGATCGCAGTCTACTGACGAATTCTAGTGTGTTCCGGGATGTGTGAACAGTTATCTGACTTCGAACTGGTTGCAACGAATCTCCTCCAAAATTAGACTTTTTCATCTCATCCGTCGCATCAACGACGTTACAACGGAGGGCGGCATACATATGCGAACTTTGCAACATTTCTCTTCAGTCACAACTGTCCCGGATCCCCAACCATGGGCTTTTGAGAAGCGTTTATATAAGATGATGGTTGATAGATGTTGAACTCAATTATTGCTATCTTTCACTTGATCGACAGTTCAACGTGAACAAATTACGACGGTTGTGCGGCTGTTAACCTACTGTCTGCATTGCTAAACTCTATTCTTCTCACTTAGTTCGCCTTAGACCATCTTTCATCGAGTATACCTACATTACACTTCTTTCCACACTGGAATGGATGGCACTCCCGCTTTCTCATCGGCACTGAGCTGCCTTTATGCAGGACGCACGGCTGAGTATATGGTTGGATCGTTTAATTGACACCATTATGTCTTCATCAGCAGCAAGCCAGTGTGTCACACCGATGCTTCGTTATCACACGACCACCACCGGTCTCGCACAGGCACGTGGATTCGAGACGGTGTTCACGTTGCAATATGTATATTGTTGGTGGCATCCGGTTCCGCATTTGCCTGTCATCGTGGCTTCTATAGCATACTCACAAGATGCCTGCGCCTACAGAGGGACCATGGGTGGCTTGCGCTGCACCACCCACAGCTCCATCCACACCCCAAATCCAGTGCAAACCGGAAGAAATAAGACCGTGAGGCATGTGGATGGGCGCCACGTTTCATCAACGGAGCCGGCCCACAATCCTTCACAGGCAAACACAAGCGCGCTGTATTTGGGAAACCTAGCGCACACAAGGCGGTGGCTGGACCGTAGTCCGCTTCACACTGCATGGAACCACTCTTCGAGCCTAGCGCGGTCATTGTGAGAAAATGTGCGCCATACTCAACGATGCGAGTAAATTCGAACGGCTCACGAAAGTGGGGGACATAACCAATGTCGAAACGCGCATAGTTCGTCACCTGGAATTGCTTCTCCTCCACCGCGTGATAGACTGTGATACACTTAATAGTTTGAAGCCGAGTGGTAGCACTATTCCACAGTTGTATGGGTTCCCAGACACATAAGAGTGAAGTGCCACTCAGGCCAATCCTTTCAATATTGAACGCGCCCCAGCATAAACTCGCTCGTTGGTTAGTGAAGTTGTTAGCTCCCCTGAAATAACAGTTCAATCGGTACAGTCTTAAAACTCGTTTCAACTCTTCGACGATCTGGATGGACTCAACTTGTCAGACAAAATCATCTTTCTTGGATGTAGAATCCTTATTTATCAACGTCCCGCTACATCAGACGGTCGATTACGTGTGCGAATTAGCTGAAAATGGTGGCTGTTCTCTACCAATTCCGACTGAATTGCTAAGAGAATCTCTACTATTGTGCACGGAGAATGTGGATTTTCACTTCCGGAATGCACCATACCGTCAAATTGATGGCATAGCAATGGGTAACCCAGTAGGTCCTGTGCTCGCTGGTTTCTTCATGCTGATGGTGGAAAGAAGCATTTCTAGGGAAATAGCCCAGATGCCCTACTACAAACGATATATCGATGTTATCTTGGCTTTCTGTTCGTCGGAGCAGCAGCTCACACATTTGGTAGAACGACTCGATGGTGCTCATGCTAACTTAAGGGTTACATGCGAAGTAGAACAGAACAGTTGTCTGCCATACATGGACATACTTATAAGTCGCAGGGATGATGGATTGATTAAGAGGTCCATTTACCGAAAATCAACTTGATCCGGTCAGTACCTGCGCTTCACCAGCTTCACACCAGTGCGGTAAAAACGGACACTTGTGGAGACTCTAGTTAGTCGTGCCAGACGAATTTGTTCAGCCGACTGTCTGGACAATGAGCCAATGTTAATTACAGCAACACTAATGGCGAACGGCTACCCTCGAAGATTTATGCTGAAACACAGTCAACCGCGAGGTGCAAAGGACTTGGTGCAAACGGCAGCCAAGAAGAAAGTGTATATCGAGTTACCTTTCATAGGTGATTTAGCCACGCTGAAGACAACTAAGCGTATAATTTCGGCTACACAGGAAAGTTACTATGCTGCGCAAGTTGTCGTTATCAACCGAACCCGAAATTTGCCCATACCTCCAACAAAGAAAGCTCAGCCTATTGGGCCAACTCACACTGTGTATACCAATTTGCATGTGACTGCGGAAACAGTTATATAGACAGAACTAATAGAACGCTGATTTCCCCAATGAAGGAATATGTACCAAGATGAGTTCAACGTGAAGTTACTCAATTTGCCTACCCTCATCTGATTCCATCTTCGCGCAGACAACCGGCTTCCTCTATAAGCAAACACCTATTAAACTCGGGTCACCGGATAGAGCTGCACACAGCGTTTAAAGTTGTGTTACGTCACACTAATCCCCGCTTCCTTCGGTATGCTGGGGCTGTCGCTATAAGCCGGATTAAGGCAGCCTTGTGTATTCAGAAACAATTGTTTGTCAGCCAAAAGCTGCCTTGGACGTAGGTGTGAACTTCCGTCATTCGTTTTGCACCTTAAGCTTGTCTGGTTGCACCCACTGTTAGCTATACCTATGCATATCGGTTATCGTTAATGGTACTGAGGAGACAATACGAAATGCATGCATCTACCAGCTTTCGTCTTCTTTCCGTGCTTTTCAAGTTTAGCTTGTGTTGGTCGTGAGCCCGAATTTGGCCGCTGTCAAAGCCAGAGCACTAATCATGTGCTGCAACTCATCCGCGCTGTGTGCAAACAACGCACAGTCGTCAGCGAACAGCAACATACGGATAGTTTAAAGCACTGAGTTCCCTTTATCATTCTAAATAAGACAAT